GGAGGGCCTGTGCTCCACTAGGAGGCCTATGCTCGACTGGGAGGCCTATGCTCGACTGGGAGGCCTATGCTCCACTGGGAGGGCCGATGCTCCACTGGTAGGGCCGATGCTCCACTTGGAGGGCCGATGCTCCACTGGGAGGGCCGATATATATATATATATTAAGCAAAAACATTACTTACATGACAATAATATACCAATGAAAAATATAATATCTTGTGCTGCAAATGGTTCTCCTAATATTATAGGCGAGAATCACTGCTCATAATGATGAGGGTTGAGAATCCAGAAATACTTCTTGTGCATTATGTTATTTATAAGGAAAACAGGGTAACTAATTAATAGTTCGCCTGTTCTTAACGAAGTACTAAATTCAGTTATCAAGTGTACTAATGCTATTAAAGCTAATGCCAAATGTGAGTGTCTCTTCAAGCCATTTTGTGAAGAGATAAATGCAGACCATGTGAGAAATAAACTTCACACTGAAGTAAGGTGGCTCTCGCAAGGGAACTGCTTGAAAAGATTGATGGAACTATTTGAAACTCTTGGTGACTTTGTAAGTGAGAAACCTGAAATGAAGTGACTGTGAACGGTCGATGGCAAGGCATTTGAGAGTTATTTAGTCGATATCTTTGAAAAAAAATAAATTTATCAAATAACCAATCTCACGGCAAAAAAAACAACAAAAAAACACAAAAAAAACCAAAACAAAAAAAACAACAACAACAAAACAGCAACATCTTGTCAATTCAAAAGCGATTTTTTTGTTGTTTTTTTGCTTTCATTACTACTTGATTTCAGAAATATGTTTTAAACAAAAATTTTGAAAAGTTTCATTGGCTCAAAAATGTGAAGGGACTGATACCGCTATACTTGTTAGTGTCGATCATCTAAAACAAAAATTGTCAGCTAATTTAGAAGAATTTTCTTTTTTTAATTTAAAAGAAATTGATTGTCCCACTTGGATGATGCAACCAGCGTACGTGCATTTGTCTGATATTTCAAATATGCAAATCAAGAAGAACTCGCAGAAATGCAAAATTATGAGTCTGTTAAAACTGTGTTTAATATTAAAGGAACGATGGCAAGGCTTTGTGAGGAAACACAAATCAACCATACGATTTCGACACAATGTGCAAGGCAGCTATGTTTACCATTTCCAACTTCATATTTAGCTCAATGGGGATTTAGTGCCATACGTGATTTGCTATTTTTGGGTTTTTTTTTTTTAATAAAAAAGAAAAAAAAGGCTGGATATAACATAGCGGGGAGACTTGAGACTGGAGTCATCTAAATTAGAGCTGAAGATAAAATCTCTTTGCAGCAAGCACCAAGCGCAAGTTTTCTTGCTAAATTAGTCATCTCACGCTGCATTTGCAATCTCTCATTTTATTTTTGAAATTATTGGATGATGAATAATAAATGAAATAGTAAACAATGCAAATATCTTAGAGAAATCTTTCATTTTGTACTTTAATTCCAGCTCTCCATTAGTTGTTTTGAAAATGTACCTATTGTGTTTCCTTTACAATTTCATTCCTGAAGCCCTTTTTTTTTCTTCTTCCTAAAACCGATCACTTGAAATCCATTCAGAGAAAAATTCAATTTTTGAATCTTAAAAATTATGTGTATACTACATGGGGAGGCATACGAATTTTATAACAGCTTAGGGTTCGTTCGAAAATTACGAGACGCAAAAAAAACAACCTTTTTAGATCCCCCCCCCACCGACCCCTGTCACAAAGTGTCATATATTCTCCACCCCCACCGCCCGTCCTCGTCTCACTTCATGCCTAAAAAAATCAAAACATACATAAAATTTTCATAACTGAACAAAGATTTTATTTTATTCTTTAACATTTTCCCATAATGGATTAAGATGTAGTAGTATTAGAAAACTGTGACGTAAAACGCAAAACAAAGAAGTCCTCCCAAAGCCGAATGTAACATTGCCACATCATTGCGCCCAAGGTCTTCACGACTGAGTTTCATGGTACCTATAATACCTGAGGCGATTTCGACCTCGAATTAATGTTTGCAAATTTAATTGAATAAAGATTTTTCAAAATTAGAAAATTTTAGGTTTAAAAAAAAAAACAAAAAAAAACTTGACTCACAGGTCACAAAGTGACACACATTCTCGAGCCCCCTCACCCCCTGAGCGTGACGTAATTTGCGAACGACCCCTTAGGTGGAGCATGGCACAAAAGACTTTGGGATACACGGCTCTGCATCAACATAATGGTCTCATTGATACAACAGAACCTGGCGCACCAAAGATTAGCAAAATGCTTTACGTCTTATCATCTTGTCAAAGTTGGTCTTTTGATGATATAATATTATGTCATGATTGACGTAGCCAAACAAGAAGATTGTGGCGCTAGAAATAAGTAGCGACTTATGAGAATTAAATGGAGTATTCTGCAGTGGTGATTGACTCTATTTTTTAATTGCTTCGATAAATAAAAACTTTGTAATTTGAAGCAGTCATACTTCCATTGTACTTGACTTCGACCAATCTGTTCTTAGTCCTTTGTTTGTTTTACTGTTTAAGTGTCATTTCTTTGTTCCTTTGTTTAAGGGTTATTTGTTTGTTCCCCTGTTTAAGAGTAAATGTTTATTCCCTGTTAAAATGTCATCCCCCACCCCCCTTGTTTAAGTGGCTTGTGTTTGTTCCCCTGTTAAAGTGTAATTTATTTTGCTCCCCTGTTTAAGTGTCATTTGTTTTATTCACCTGTTTAAAAGTCATTTGTTTTGTTCCCCTGTTAAAGTGTCATTTGTTTTGTTCCCCTGTTAAAGTGTCATTTGTTTTGTTCCCCTGTTAAAGTGTCATTTGTTTTGTTCCCCTGTTTAAGTGTCATCTGTTTTGTTCCCCTGTTTAAGTGTCATTTGTTTTGTTCCCCTGTTTAAATGTCATTTGTTTTGTTCCCCTGTTTAAATGTCATTTATTTTGTTCCCCTTTTTAAGTGTCATTTGTTTTGTTCCCCTTTTTAATTGTTATTTGCTTTGTTCCCCTTTTTAATTTTTTTTTCACCTTTTTAAATGTCATTTGTTTTGTTCCCCTTTTTAAGTGTCATTTGTTTTGTTCTCCTGTTTAAGTGTCATTTGTTTTGTTCCCCTGTTTAAGTGTCATTTGTTTTGTTCCCCTTTTTACGTCTAGTTTGCTTTGTTCCCCTGTTTAAGTGTCATTTGTTTTTCCCCTGTTTAAATGTCATTTGTTCCCCTTTTTAAGTCAGTGTCATTTGTTTCGTTTCCCTGTTTAAGTATCATTTGTTTTGTTCCCCTTTTTAATTGTTATTTGCTTTGTTCCCCTTTTTAATTGTTTTTTTTGTTCACCTGTTTAAGTGTCATTTGTTTTGTTCCCCTTTTTAAGTGTCATTTGTTTTGTTCCCCTGTTTAAGTGTCATTTGTTTTGTTCCCCTTTTTAAGTGTCATTTGTTTTGTTCCCTTGTTTAAGTGTCATTTGTTTTGTTCCCCTGTTTAAGTGTCATTTGTTTTGTTCCCCTGTTTAAGTGACATTTGTTCACCTTGTTTAAGTGACACTTGTTTTGATGCCCTGTTTATGTGCCATTTTTTATGCCCTGTTTAAGTGACATTTGTTTTGATGCCCTGTATAGAAGTACGTTTGTTCCCCTGTTTAAGTGACATGTGTTCCCCTGTTTAAGTAACATTTGTTCACCTTATCTAAGTGACATTTTTTTTTGATGCTCTGTATAGAAGTACGCCTGTTTCCCTGTTTAATGTTCAATTGTTTTCCCTTGTCTAAGTGTCATTTCTTTTGTTCCCTTGTCTAAGTGTCATTTCTTTTGTTCCCTTGTCTAAGTGTCATTTCTTTTGTTCCTTTGTCTAAGTGTCATTTCTTTTGTTCCCTTGACTAAGTGTCATTTCTTTTGTTCCATTGTCTAAGTGTCATTTCTTTTGTTCCCGTAATTAAATGTCATTTGCTTGTTGAGCGGTTGAAGTGTCTGTTCCCTTGTTTAAGTTTAAGTGTCATATGTAATGGTTCCTTGTTTCACTGTCATCTGGTTGTTTCCCCTTTTTAAGTGTCATTTACATTTATGGCAGTTTCAAGGTCAACGTTAAGCATATTTATAATAAAAAAAGATTATAATAAATAAAATTAGTTTTTAGATTTCTCAATCTTTTGGTGTGTAAAATGCCCCCCCTTTTTTTTTATCGTGGAAAAACATGCGCCATCACATCAGAAAATAGGATGAAGCAGAAAACTTACGTCATAAATCCTCAAATAGATTCAAACGTACGTCATTGTTACTGCAAATAGAAAGCGTTTAATAAGCAACAAAAGAAATAATTATTCATCTAGATTTGGGTAAACCCCCCAAAATCAGCGCTTCTCAAGTTTTTTTCAACTCGCAGTCCAGTAATATCTTAAAACAATTAAATAAACTAAAATTTAGTTAACCCCTAACGACAAAAATAACAACAACAACTTTTCTGTCGTTTAACAGTCGGTCAACACTTACTGTAGGTTTAAAGATAACGAGAAAGTAATATAAGAATAAGATTAATAATCATTTAAACATGGTCCAGATGTTTAGATCCACTGTTCAGTGACGTCCGTAATTCCCAAAATAAGCTTGACATAAACGTGTGACATACTCCCCATGACGCAGGTACAGCCTTGAACACGCTTGGTTGTCCTTGAACGGAAATATGCGGCCTTGAACTAACTCAAAGGGGGTTTCCCCATACTGGAGTCTCGCACGCCATCACTGATAAAAAAAATAAAATAATAATTTTACATATATATTTATAAATAAAAAATTCATTATTCTTTAAGACTAACATCACGCATTTGAAACGGTAATTAATTTAAGTCAAAGCAAATAGACATTTCGAAAATACTTTAACAATGTCGTGACAAGTTAAGAAAAAAAACAACTTAAAAAATTTTAAAACCTTATATCATGTTGAGAAAGATACATTTTTGGGCCCTCAAAATCTTAAATATAAAAGGGGAGCTTTGAAAGGGGTAAGTCATTCTTCTACAAGGTTTAACTTCTACGACTCCACTCTAGATATCTTTAGTAGCACTCACATCTCTTATTCCTGAAGATGTCCATCCTGGCCAGTGTTGTCCTCTTCGTGGCCGTGGCCGCAGCGGCTGAAGCTGCCTACGTCAATCAGCTGGGTCAACCGTTTGATTTCAAATGCCCTCCCGGTCAAATCATCAGTCATATCGGCAGTGACTACGACCTGCTCCTTGAAGACAGACAGTGGGAGTTCCGGTGCAGGGCTGCCAACGTTAGCGAAGTGTGTTCCAGCAGTGGTATGTTGGGATTTTCTATCAAATATATTTTCATTGGTTTCATTTTCGTCATGTTGCTTAGATTAACTATCAATTAATATTAGTTCATAATTAGCTCATATTATTTATCTATTTCTTTTTGAAAAGTCTAAATTATGCGTGTTTTCATATCGTACACACATGGGCACCCGCAGGTAGGGGCAAGTTGGGAAAAGTCTAAATTATGCGTATATTCATATCCTACACCCATGGGCACCAGCAAGTAGGGGCAAGTTGGGGCACTTCCCCCCCCCCTGGATTGATTGGATAAAAAAATTTTTTAGACAAAAATAGACAAAAAATTCATTAAAGAAAAGAGAAAATAAAGAGAAAGTAACTAAGCTGATGTCCTGTCCGTTCGTTCACCATACAAATACACTACAGTAAATTAAAACTATTTTAAAACATTACTAACAATTTTTTGCACCCCCCCCCTGGAAAGTTAATCGATTTTTTTTGCCCCCCACCCCCTTGAAAGTTTTCTGCGGGCGCCCATGCCTACACACAATTTCACGATACTTACCTTGTCTTCTTACCATATTTATTTGGCACAAATTTGCCAATAAGGAATGCCATTTAATGATGTAAATCTGTCAATATAGAACATCCGGGCGTACAAGTCTGGCCAATCTCATCAAGATATTTTTTTTTAAAAATCATATTATTCGTTTGGTCAGTCTATCAACAGCAGATCCGCACTTCTAGATTCATGTGAGCCAGCGTATAGTGGGTCTTAACCTAGACTAAAACGTGGTTACAGCTTCACTTTACGGAAGACTTTGATTGAGTTTTCAAGTAATTCATAAGACACACACGATCTCTTATACATAAAAGCAAGCATCGATCAAATACAATTTTAGGGCACCAATAAGAAAAAATAAGGCATTTTTAACGGAAAAAAATGCCGATTAAACGACATAACAACCTTGAAAAAAAAAAACAAATTTTTTTCGTATAAATCCTTTTTATGCATTTGTTGATTATTTTATTTTATATTAAAATTCTAATGATCCACAAGCATTTACACCGCTGATTTATTTCACCATTTCACAAAACAGAAACAAACAAAAATAGTACTCACTCTCGATATTTAAAAAAAAAAAAAAAGAATCTCATTTAATGCATTTATGGGGAATTTTATTTAGTGACATAATTCTCATCATATTTCCTTCATTTTCCCCCTGAAAAGCTGAATTTCGGTTTTGAGTTTGGGGAGCGGGGCTGAAAGTTTGAAAGAATGTGTTGTCGTCGGCAATGAGTCTGTGTGCCAAGTTTCACCGCGATAGGAAGTGCGTCAATTAGCCGTCCGAAGATTTTTTCCTAAACACGCAAACAAAAGTGAAGTTAATATAAAGGATATTTAAAAAAACAAAAACAATTGCAATTGCCATGCACATGGTCATATGGCAACCCTGAATCTAACACTGTATTTAAGTTAATCAAAAATAATTCATAAGTTGTTTTTTTTAAAAATTATTTAAAGGATACGTCAATGGATTTGGCCTGCCTCTGGCATTCACCTGTCCAGGAAACCAAGTCTTGGCTGGGGTCCAGAGCTACCACGACAACCAGGTCGAGGACAGACGCTTCAACTTCAGGTGCTGTGATCTGAGGAGTAAGGCCCCGCGTGGCTGCCTACACGGAAGTGACGTCAACACCTGGGGCGGAAAGCTGCTCCTCGAGGTCCCTCGGGGCAAGGCGATAAAGGGTGCCGTGAGCAGTCACGACGTCACGTTTGAAGACAGAGTTTGGAAGTTTCAGATCTGTGACATCTAAATGTCAATCGTCATATTGACACATGTATCATTAAATAGGTACACTGAAATGACGCCATAATACCGTATGTTTGATTGTTTCTGTGCAAGATTTACACCAAAGTTTAGAGATTATTTATCTATTGTCACAAAAATTATACTAAACTTAGAATCACTTTCAATTTTAATTAATGTTTAATTTTTTTTCTGAAATTTTTAACATTATTTTTTATTATACGATATCACCTGTAGATTTAATATTGATGGCTTTGATGATGGTTTTTGAATTGTATTCCCAATTTTACCAAGCCTCACATCACTTTCTTATAAACATGTTGATCAATTGTTCCCTGGTTAGATAAGGAAAAGACAACACAAAAAAAATAAATAAATAAACTTCTCTATCTCGCCTTCAGTAGCGCTGTTGACTTCAATGTTTTAACCTGTGTGTAAGACCGTTTGCATTTGATTGGATCACGGTTATACCATTTACCCGATGATGAACATGAGGCATGAGGTGGGTAGTGGCAGCCTCGTGCTAATGATTCTATATACCCGGCCATTGGGGAGGCTGTTCCTAGGCAGGCGTTTCATTCCAACGACGTCGTGAACTAATTATTCTTACGCGAGCAGAATCCACTGTAGAGAACCCTGTTAGAGGGCGTCTGATGCTTCCCCGGGATGGGCAAGGGGGGGGGTGGATAATATGAGGTATATGCACCATCCCGACTCCGACCACTGGGTAAAGTCGACTGCTTGTGTTGTGAGAGCAAAAAATCACTGGCCCTGTCGGATGTTTTTATAAGTTGAGATGGCACCCCGTATAACTGGTCACAGTGGAGCGAGGTTACGAGCGGAACTGCCCCAACAGGAGGAGATCTCAAACGTGCCGCTTCGTAGCCCAACAGGAGGAGATCTCAAACGTGCCGCTTCGTAGCCCAACAGGAGGAGATCTCAAACATGCCGCTCCGTAGCCCAACAGGAGGAGATCTCAAACGTGCCGCTTCGTAGCCCAACAGGAGGAGATCTCAAACGTGCCGCTTCGTAGCCCAACAGGAGGAGATCTCAAACGTGCCGCTTCGTAGCCCAACAGGAGGAGATCTCAAACGTGCCGCTTCGTAGCCCAACAGGAGGAGATCTCAAACGTGCCGCTTCGTAGCCCAACAGGAGGAGATCTCAAACGTGCCGCTTCGTAGCCAACAGTTGGGGTACTTTTCGGTGTTGAGGGTGCGGGGGGGGGTTCCTTTGGGGGAGGGGGGTGGCATTAAGAGCTTTTAAAGCTCGACGGCTCGCTGATGCCATTTCCTAATAATACATATTCAGTAAGACTGTTACCCAAGTTTGAGATAGATAAGGTGCCCAAGTTTGGGATAAGGGTGACCTAACTGAACTACGAATTTATATTTTATGTTTACAGATTTCGTTTTGTCAGCGGTTTCCTAACCAGTTGTTATTTTCCATTTTGAAAAAAAACCAAATTGAAACGTTTTACAAAAGGGCTACAGCATCGAATGTTCTCAGTTATGTTTATTTTAAAGCAGCATAATGTGTTGTTGTTTTTTTGTTTTTGTTTTTTTGTTTTTTTTTGAATGATCCTAAGCATTTTAATATTTTAACTCGCATTAACCCACAAGGCTAACAAAGTTTGCTGTTTGAATAATTCTATTAAAATAGTCAGCCATCGTCTAGTTGGAAAGATGTACATAATCACAACTGTTGCGTACCGTGATAGTTGTTGAAGATTTAATCTGTGTTCATATTGGGCTCGTTGAAGAAACCATACGTACCAAAGGACTGAGAAAACAATATGCAAAGGAAAACGATACCAAAGCTATTGCTACTAATAATATTTTATTTAAGTATACACATTAATTTCTATACAAATTCAAGTTTGAGTACAGAAAAAACAACAACTGTATCAACTGTAGCTGAAAACACAAATATTAATGTACACACAAAATATTAGATAATGCCCCGTACAGCAAAAATCTTTCCCTCGCTCTCTCTATCTGTCTCGATCTGTCTATCCAAGTCTCGCTGCTAAGAAAACACAATAATAATCATTTATGTCTCGGCTAACGAACGATAATTCGGGTTACGAATATACGCATTCTACTTGTTCACACAATCCCAATAATGGCTCAGTAGTAGGTAGTGCTTCGGCGTATTTGAAGTAAGCATCGTTTGTCCGAGTGCTGAGCACAAAACAGAACTTTTTGTTACTTTTGGCGCTTAATATCATGGTGCCAAAAACAGTACTTTTTGTTACTTTAGGCGCTTAATATCATGGTACCGAAAACAGTACTTTTTGTTACTTTTGGCGCTTACTATCATGGTACCGAAAACAGTACTTTTTGCTACTTTTGGATTTTTGGCGCTTATTATCATGGACCCTAAAGAGAAAATTCTTATTACTAGGAATCGTGTTGGTGTAGAAGTAAAGAAATACATTATACTATAACATTATGGTGGCCTTCGGGTTTCAGAAATCGCAAAACAATACAACTCGGTCAAGGTGAAATCGTTGATGTGTACTAGTCTTATAAAGGGGCAATTAACGCGACTGATATGGCTAAAGGAGTGACTGTGTTAACAAGGTAAAAGGCCTAAAGTGCTAAATATAGTACATAACTTTTTTGTTTGTTTGGATAAATGAAGACACCTGGCTGTAGTATGTACACAGTATTAGCGAGACAAATATTTGTAAATAGGGCGCCAGGCCGTTGCACAGTGAGTTGTTGGCCAAAACACAAGAGTACAAGTGCCAGGTGGTTACACAGTAATTTTTTGGCCAAAACACAAGAGTACAAGTGCCAGGTGGTTACACAGTGAGTTGTTGGCCAAAACACAAGAGTACAAGTGCCAGGTGGTTACACAGTGATTTGTTGGCAAAAACACCGAGTACAAATGCCAGGTGGTTACACAGTAATTTGTTGGCCAAAACGCAAGAGTACAAGTGCCAGGTGGTTACACAGTGATTTGTTTGGCCAAAACACAAGAGTACAAGTGCCAGGTGGTTACACAGGGATTTGTTGGCCAAAACACAACAGTGCAAGTGCCAGGTGGTTACACAGTGATTTGTTGGCCAAAACACAAGAGTACAAGTGCCAGGTGGTTACACAGTGATTTGTTTGGCCAAAACACAAGAGTACAAGTCCCAGGTGGTTACACAGTAATTTGTTGGCCAAAACACAAGAGTACAAGTGCCAGGTGGTTACACAGTGATTTGTTGGCCAAAACACAAGAGTACAAGTGCCAGGTGGTTACACAGTGATTTGTTGGCCAAAACACAAGAGTACAAGTGCCAGGTGGTTACACAGTGATTTGTTGGCCAAAACACAAGAGTACAAGTGCCAGGTGGTTACACAGTGATTTGTTGGCCAAAACACAAGAGTACAAGTGCCAGGTGGTTACACAGTGATTTGTTGGCCAAAACACAAGAGTACAAGTGCCAGGTGGTTACACAGTGATTTGTTGGCCAAAACACAAGAGTACAAGTGCCAGGTGGTTACACAGTGATTTGTTGGCCAAAACACAAGAGTACAAGTGCCAGGTGGTTACACAGTGATTTGTTGGCCAAAACACAAGAGTACAAGTGCCAGGTGGTTACACAGTGATTTGTTGGCCAAAACACAAGAGTACAAGTGCCAGGTGGTTACACAGTGATTTGTTGGCCAAAACACAAGAGTACAAGTGCCAGGTGGTTACACAGTGATTTGTTGGCCAAAACACAAGAGTACAAGTGCCAGGTGGTTACACAGTGATTTGTTGGCCAAAACACAAGAGTACAAGTGCCAGGTGGTTACACAGTGATTTGTTGGCCAAAACACAAGAGTACAAGTGCCAGGTGGTTACACAGTAATTTGTTGGCCAAAACACAAGAGTACAAGTGCCAGGTGGTTACACAGGGATTTGTTGGCCAAAAGACAAGAGTGCAAGTGCCAGGTGGTTACACAGTGGTTTTTTGGCCAAAACACAAGAGTACAAGTGCCAGGTGGTTACACAGTGATTTGTTGGCCAAAACACAAGAGTACAAGTGCCAGGTGGTTACACAGTAATTTGTTGGCCAAAACACAAGAGTACAAGTGCCAGGTGGTTACACAGTGATTTGTTTTGCCAAAACACAAGAGTACAAGTGCCAGGTGGTTACACAGGGATTTGTTGGCCAAAAGACAAGAGTGCAAGTGCCAGGTGGTTACACAGTGATTTGTTGGCCAAAACACAAGAGTACAAGTGCCAGGTGGTTACACGGTGATTTGTTTGGCCAAAACACAAGAGTACAAGTGCCAGGTGGTTACACAGGGATTTGTTGGCCAAAACACAAGAGTGCAAGTGCCAGGTGGTTACACAGTGATTTGTTGGCCAAAACACAAGAGTACAAGTGCCAGGTGGTTACACAGTGATTTGTTGGCCAAAACACAAGAGTGCAAGTGCCAGGTGGTTACACAGTGATTTGTTGGCCAAAACACAAGAGTACAAGTGCCAGGTGGTTACACAGTGATTTGTTTGGCCAAAACACAAGAGTACAAGTGCCAGGTGGTTACACAGTAATTTGTTGGCCAAAACACAAGAGTACAAGTGCCAGGTGGTTACACAGGGATTTGTTGGCCAAAAGACAAGAGTGCAAGTGCGAGGTGGTTACACAGTGGTTTTTTGGCCAAAACACAAGAGTACAAGTGCCAGGTGGTTACACAGTGATTTGTTGGCCAAAACACAAGAGTACAAGTGCCAGGTGGTTACACAGTGATTTGTTAAGAGTAAAGATGCTAGGCAGTTGTACAGTGATGGCCTAGGAATGGTCTAACAGGAATTGAGATATAGGTTATCCAAAATCTGGTTTAAAAAAACAAAAACAAAGAAAAACTCTAAAATCTTTTTTTCTGGATCAAGAATCGATGATCTGAAACTTCATAGCCAAATTATCGTTTTCACCGAGATCGCAAAATTTTCGTTGCATTTAATTTGTAAATTGACTTTAAAAAAAAAAATCAATATCTTTTTCTCGAAGTTTCGCTAAGCTACATAATATAGTAATTTCACAAAACATTTCACTGAAAATTACTTATAAATAAACTAAATTGAAATCGAAGATTTTTTATTTTTTTTAATGCAAATGTAGACACATATTTAGTAATTTTGGAGCGATCAAACTACCCTCGCATCAGTTAATTTTTGAATTTAAGGCACTCCAAATAAATTTATTGTTTATTTCTAAGTTTTTTCCCCAATTTAAAAAAAAAAAATTATTTTGTTTGCTTCACGAAAAAAAGTGTGTTGATTAAGGTCATCAACGATTTTTTTCTTCAATTTTTAATTAATTTTTAAAAAAAATATGTCCAATCATGTTAGCTACTAAAATGATGTGGTAATTTTTCATGATGCGGCAGTATATTTGACATATTTATACAGACAGAACTACCTTGTGTTGTTGATAATGCCGATGTACTACTGTTAATTATTTTTCATGAAAAAAAAACCCAACAAAATACTTTATCCCCTGACCTGGCATGCATTAAACATGACCGTTTTTCAAGTCTCTCCGTTAGCCAGTTGGGTGTTGGCTATATTATACTATATAATATATAGTGATAATTTAGCAAAAAATGTCTTCTACTGCCATATTTTAAATAATCTGACTCTAATTTGATTTGCTCTGGATCATGCTGGATATCATTGATATAACGCCATTCAGCAGAATCGTCTATCTACTACATCGGCATCTAAATTCGATAAGTTCCAACTTGCGTTCTCGCATTGTGCATTAATGAATTCCCCAATTTCCCGCACACGCGTCTGCCCATTTCATTGTCATCATTGGCTAAAAATATTTGAGAAATAAATTGACACTGCACATCGACAGTGGCGTAGCTGGGTTTAGTGCCACCCGGGTAGGGACAAGATTTTTTGACCCCCCACCCCTCTTTCTTGCGAGGAAAAAAAATTCTGCAGTTGGCCGTAAGTAAACCCCACCCTTTCATTCACCCGAATTATTCTGAACTAATCTAAAGCGTTAAAATTATGTCACAAGGGGCGCCCCCCTCCCCCCCATTATTTTTAACAACGTTATTTACTTTGATGGACTTTGCCGCCTTTGAAAAAATGCTTCTCTCGTCAGCCGCCTATACTAGCCGGTACTGGGAATGCTAAGGGATATTTGGAAGAGGGGCGCCAACTTTAGTTTGTCTCGGGAAATGATGGTAGCAGAGCAAACCAAAGGTTATAATACTAAACTTAATCATCAACAGTACAAGCAAACACTCAAAGGGAAAACATAGTGGTAGAGCTGGGAATCGAGCCCTCTAACTCTAAGTTCGGGTTCGGTTCGTTAACCAACTTTTAAGTTTACGTTCGGGACGAGCTTAAGTTCGGGTTCGGTAACAACTTAAAAAATCGTATCCGGAAATTTGATCGAAAGAAAAATTCGTCGACAGTAAATTGATCGACGGTAATTTGATCGAACGGAAATTTGGTTAGAATCTTTTTAAAAAAAAGTTTTTACATTAAAATTTTGCTTAAAATTTCTTTTCAAACGCATTATTTTGTCTTACTATATATAATAATTATAGTATAGTATAGTGCGTTCAAAAAGAAATTTGACGAAAATTTTAACGTGTGAACTGAAAAAAAGATTATTAAAATTATTACATCTATCTATTATTATAAATTTATAAACCAAAAAAAAAATTAAAAAAATTTAAAGACAGCTTTTGTAAGTTGACTTTTCAAAAAAAATTCCGTGGAATATATAACATTTGTTATTTTGATTTACATTATGACGGGCGGGCGTCAAATATTTTCTCAGTATTCAGTCCTAAACTTAAACCTAATCTACATCATTTACTATTACACTCACTAATTTTATTTCTACCATAACGTGGGAGGTAGAGTTTTTCTATGAAAAAATAAAACGATAGAATGGTGCGATCAATGGTCCTTAAGTGTTTTGAATATTTTAATACAGTACATTAATATTTTTTAAATAAAAAAAATCTTTTTGGCTCTATTGTAATATTTTTTTGGCATACACATTTTAATTTTATAAATTAAATAATACGCATGCTCCCTAGAAAGGATAACTCTATTGCTAACACAAACAAACATGGCTGAAATCTTGTTTGAACTTCAGAAAGAAGGAATATTTAAAAAGGTGTTGTATGGAGGAGATGGGAATATTCCAACTTTTCCCGATGGTGCTAAGGTATTTATAATATAGAGAACGTTTTCTCTTAAATTACAAGTCTAAACCTACTTGAGACGGAGCTTTTTTGTTTATCAGTGCCAAGAAATCTGAGTCTTGTTCACAACATGTTCTGCACTTGCCCTTGCTTTGCAAAATCAAAAGATGTATACAAAACAAACTTTCAGTTCACAGATACTATATATAGCTATACTATATTATATATTAATGCCTATGCCTACACTATATTTTATTTAAAATTATAAATATTATCTTGAAGTAACTTTTAGGGAATTGAATGCACTTTATTAATCAAACTCAGCTGAAATCTAAACATTTATTCAAACAGGATATCTTGATTTGCATAATTTATGCATGCACTTTTTTTTACCACTTACAATAAACATGTTCTACTTGCAGAATTTGTTAAATGTTATTATTTTTGAAGCCAAAATAAGTCCTAATAAACATTTGAGATTTGAATGAGAGTTGATATGAAAAACTGCAATTTTATTTAAGCATTTATGGTTTATAGAGGTCACTAGAAAAAAAAAAAATTGAAATAAAATGACAGAAGACCCTAAAATATCAATGGAAGCAGCCATTAAAATGGCGAGATGAGGAAGAAATAGGAGGAGCAATCTGGTTATCTAGTGCAAAGACCAGCCAGCCAATTCGAGGCTTTTGTATGGGGCAGATGGATCAGCCATTCATCTTTTTTTTCCATTCAACTCTGCGCCAATAGATGGGCCCAGCCATCTCAAGAGGGTTAATATTAGTGATAATCAAACTCAAAATCCACCTCTGAAACTGCAGCCCCAAACCACTTATAATTTAATTATTTTTCTGGATCACAAAAAGACAACTCTTCAGTTAAAACTGAATGCTGAGGCTCCATTTTAGATGTTTTAGGTGACTTGGCTCACATGACATGCGGACAGAGACTGGGAAGAAATACTCCAGACTATATCACCACTGTGGCACAGATGCTATAACTATTACTAAAATAATTTCACCAGAATTAGATTAGAGCCTAAAAATTCACAAATAGAATTTTCATCTTAAAGATGAATAGCCTTATTACTATTATTACTGTGTAGGGCCTACTTACTTATAGGATATTGATAGGATAATTGATTATTATTAATATTTACAACAACATGCTTTAGGCTACTCAGTCTTTAGTAACTTTACTTTAGACTTTTTAATTATACAAATTTGTATTATTCATTTGTGTTGTTTTCATTTGAACAAGTCTTTTTTGGTGATATTATTTGTTTTTTGTTCAGTCTCTTTTCCAAATTTTCCCTTCCCTTTTTTTTTCCTTAGCCTTATCTGAATAATTGTACCTTTTGAGTGAATGAATTTTTGGACTGGGTTTCAGCAACAATACACTGTCTCAAATAAATTGTAATGAAATATAATTTTACTTCTATTTTTTATGAAATAACATTATTATCTTTATCTCAAATAGGCCACATTTCATTACCGCACAACAAAAGCAAATGATGATAGAACCGTTTTGGATGATAGCAAACACACAGCAAAACCCATGGAGTTGATATTCGGCAAAAAATTTAAACTGGAAGTTTGGGAAAAGTTACTGAAAACAATGAAAGTGAATGAAGTTGCTGAATTTACTTGTGATACCAAAGTAGGTTTTACTAAAAATTTTATCTTCTGAAAAGTTTGTAACAGTTTAAACATTAAATTTAAAAGCATTGTAGACAAAAAAATACTACTCTTGTTATTAAACTTGTGCGCCCATGATTTGGTTGACAATTTCAAGTCCTCATTTAGAATTGATTTAACCTTTTTTATTTCACTTACAAATTTTACAAAACTTTCTACTGTTTAGGGAACAAAATATGATATGGCTAGGTGGATATAAACCTCGTCCAGTTTCAAAAAGTCCCTTAAAACTCATCTGTTTAGGTCCGCCTATGACCTGTGATGCACCCTCCTTGCCCTACCTCATTTTCTGTTTCGGCTTAATCCTGAAGTGTCAAAGTGTCCTCTTTTTATAGCCATTTTCATTGTTTCTATAGAATAGTAGTTACTATCCTAGTGTCTCATTTTTATTTTACTTAGTTTACATGTTTTAATAATTGTAAAGCGCTTAGAGCTTTATGATAAGCGCTATATAAGAATAGTAGTTACTATCCTAGTGTCTCATTTTTATTTTACTTAGTTTACATGTTTTAATAATTGTAAAGCGCTTAGAGCTTTATGATAAGCGCTATATAAAAATGCCTAAATAAATAAATAAATAAATATAAATTCTTTATTATTGTTGTCAACTAACTAACATACATATTCTGGTTGAGGCTAGACCTTACGCTCTTAAAGCCCCAGATAGTACTCCGTCAACCAGCTCCATCTGCTGGGCTGTGCCATGTAACATCATTGTAACATATGACTCTCCTGCCACCCTGGCCTTCTCCACAACATCCAGTTCTGTGCACTTAGTCAACAGATGCACTGTTGTCTCCTGGGCCATTGAGCAATGCCGGCAGGTTGGGTCCCTGTTTTTGTTAGCCTTTTAAAGTATGAGTTATTAGGGCAGTGCTCGGTTCTCATTTGGGTCACCAGACTCTGGTGTCGATGACCCAATTTCCACCGTGGGTCTAATTGTCAACTAAATTGTTCTATTCTATAAATAATTTTCATTTAGAATGGAAGTGAAAAAAATTGTATACACACTCCTTTTCCATGAATGTCAAATAATAGCTAAAATTCTTCATTTGTATACTGATTCTCCTTTTATCTCTTTTTAATTTAAATTAATCCAAAGGGGAAGGCTGTTACTACTGTTAGTTGTAATGTTTTAGTAGGTGTTTTTTTAAGCATTATTATTATCCGCTTCTAATCTTGTCATCTTTCTTTGCACATTAGCACACAGCTGTTTACCCTCTAGTTGCCAAAAGTCTGCGTGATATTTACAAAGGGAAGTCGTCTCACACGCACACATCTCACTGTTGTGGAATGATGGCTCTCTCTGAACAGGGCATGGGCTATTCAGATTTGGATGAACTTATGAAATCTCCACAGCCACTAGTTTTTATTCTGGGTAATTACACAAAGTCTTCCCATGAATTAATTCATTTAATGCTCATTTATTAATCAAAATGTATTTCAAGGAAAGAGCTGTTGTGTGGTTATTTTACAAACCTTTTACCTTCTTGTTTTTGCATTAATAAAAATTTATATGGATCTCTTTCTTCATTAAAAAAATCGTTTTAAAGCCAGACAAAAATGAGCTTGAAGTTTATCTACTCACATATGCTTATTCAAGATTTGGTTATAAAGCACTCTCTCTCCACAGTCTATGTTTTTCATATTTAAGGTGTCAAAGAATCCTAGTTAAGAATCATGTTTTTAAAATTGAGTACCTATTTAATTTGATTCTTGAACAGAGTTATTGAAGCTGGAGTTGCCAGAACAATTTGAAAAAGAAAGCTGGTCCATGAATGAATTTGAGAAGCTGGAGAGCATCCCTAAGTTGCGTGAAATAGGGAACGAGGCCTACAACCAAAAGAACTATGAAGAAGCTGCCAACAAGTATGCCCAGGCCCTTGGGATGTTAGAAGATCTCATGTTGCAGTAAGTAGCCACCTGAACAGACGCTTTGCTCTTGAGGTCCTGGAAGTGTGGAGCAACAGAAGTATGTTTTTTCTGTGACTCCAGGCCAGGAAGTGGTCTTCAGTTACTTATGAAGCCAGCCCCTCTGAACAGGCAGAGGCTATTGGAAAAGACTGCATCCAGGAACATGCGGTTTTCCTTCTGGACACGTTGTCCTTAGAAACAGTCCACTAAGATTTCTTTCCAGCTGCCAAAGCATTTTGCACTTAGCGCTGAGGACTTGCTCGCAATCAGGTGGTGTCAAAAAATATGTACATGGCCGAAATCCCATTGAAAGGTCATGTATAGCATTTAATTTATCCAACGGCTGCGTTATGTTATCCTAATGAAGAACCTTTTTTCTTTTGGTGGGTGAATGGAAAAATATCCCTAATTATACTCCTACATTATGCTGCTCTATTGAAAATTGTTATGGAGGTGTGAACAAGTTTCATTCCCCTGAATTCACCTCATGGTAATATAATACTTATTATCTTTCATGTTTTTTTGTTCCTAACATTGTAGCATTAAATTGCGCTTTTTATACTTCTTTATTTCTTCTAAGTCCAGAATTCCTAAAGAAGTATGTTTCACTTGAACATGAAAAGTTTGTTTAATTTTTCAGAGAGAAGCCTGGTGATGAGGAATGGAAAAAGCTTGACCAGATGAAACGTCCACTTCTACTCAATTTTTCCCAGTGCAAGCTGTTGACCCATGACTACTACCCTGTGATAACTCATACTTCTGATGTTTTAGACAGAGAGCCAGGTAGTGATTAGTATTGTTTGATGGCTAGGTACTAACTTATTTAGTGATGTCTTAATCTAATTTTTAAGTCTTTAAGGACCAGGGACAATAAAGCTAAGGCATATTAATTCTGAAGCCACTTATTTGCTAACTTGATCTGCGTGTGAATTTAAGGTAAAGCTATCCTGGGAAAATGTTTAAAGGGGATTAAAATCTATTTTTTCCCCTGTAAAAATAAAGTTATCACTACTTTTGCATTTCACATTTATTTAACAATTAGGGATGTTAAAAACACCTGCCCAGGTACCCGTTTAGCAAAGGAGCCGGGTACCTGACAAATTTTCAGGAAATATAGGGATTCATTGGAGAAAAAAATTTTTTTTTTTTTTTTTTAGTATGCTGTGTCTAAGTTACAACTTTAAGTTTTACTCTTTTGAAATGGTGCAGTTCATTAATTTAATTTTTATTTTTAAAACAAAGGAGCCGGGTACCTGACAAATTTTCAGGAAATATAGGGATTCATTGGAGAAAAAAATTTTTTTTTTTTTTTTTAGTATGCTGTGTCTAAGTTACAACTTTAAGTTTTACTCATTTGAAATGGTGCAGTTCATTAATATAACTTTTATTATTAAAACACTTTTTACTACACTGGATTTGTTTTTACAGGTCTCTTTTGAAACATTATTTATTATTATTTTATCCCCTTACTATAAGATTAACAACAGGCAATGTGTGCAAGACCAACATGTGCTTGATATTAGACGCACTGTGCTTAACCACACATAGTTGGAAATAAGTTTTATAAAAGCTTTATGTTTACTTTATTGAAATGATCAGAATTATGCCGTCAATAGAAAACTCGAGGGAAGCATGATTTCATTACTATTATTAAATAATAATGGGAGAGGCTTCTCATGACCCCACCGCAGGCATTTAGTAGCAACCGTAGGGAATGAGGAAATTCATTTCTTCGTTTAAAAAAAAAACAACAAAAAAAAACAACAAATTATTAGTGGAAATCGTATTATTTTTTATGATCTTATAAATATTTCTTTTAATTGGTTACCCCAGAATTGCTTGGGTAGTTAGCCTCGGGCGGGTACCCAGGCGCCTGTTAACAGCCCTTATAAAATGTTTATGTTTCATTAGGAAAACAAAGTTTCCTATTATTTTTCAGTGTTATAAGTTAGAGGAAGCCAACTCAGCTTAGAGATTACCTTAACTATATCATTATGGCAAATGCAACCTGCTCTCAATAACAATTATTAGCTCTGCATTGTTTTTTAAAATAAGAGATATTTAAAAGTTCCCGGCCCATCATTATTTAGACTTTATTGCTGTCTATTATTGTCTACATGTATTTTGTTTCTAAAACCATAATGACTTTTCCCAGAAGTCCCAGTGATAAATCATGAACAATATTTTCTAGATAATGTCAAGGCTCTGTTCAGGCGAGGAAAAGCCCACGCAGCCGTTTGGAATTTGAAAGAGGCACATGAAGACTTTGCAAGGGTCGTTGAACTTGACTCCAGCTTAAAGAAGGCAGTGGCAGCTGAGCTTGCCAGCTTGGAGCAACGGGTCAAGGAGAAGGAAAAACTGGAAAGGTCATTACTACAGGGCATGTTCAGTTGATGGGGGTCAACAACTCGGGTCCTTTCCTGGTTACATGACTGATGATAATCTGGTCAGCTGATAAGTAAGTTATGCCACCATTAAACAAAAGCATTTAAGAAATTAGAACTGATTGTCATACTCATAAACAATGCAGAAATTAATTGGTGTTATTAGCTCCTTGTGGAATAAGGAAATACAAATCTGTCATTAGCCAGTACTTATTTTGTACATGGAAGAAAAGTATCGCAACACTCCAACCTCTCAAACATTTTTTTATTTTTAAAAACCTTTTCTTAAAATGTTACAGCTGTATGTATGTTGTGTTTATAAATGGCATTAGGAGCTTTCTTGACCGACATAAATTTTAAGTTATATTTTTTTTAAACTTTACCACTCTTATAAGTAAACGAGTACCTGATAAAGTTCTTGATTTGATTAAATGTTATTCTTTTGGAAATCATTTATTTATGTTAGCATTCAAAACAGTAAAAGTAAAAGTGAAAAATCAACAAAATTCTTCTATTTAAAAAAAAAAAAATTATTGATCATGTATTTGGTTATTGAGTTAATGTTTTAGAAAATAGACTATTTTGTTTAAAAATTGCACAAATGTAGTGATATTTAAACATATTTTTTTTTTGGATCAGTTCAGAATTTCATTTTCTTGGAAACAACAGCTGCTAGATCTACTTTTAGGCCTCACTCCAAATGTGGTCACCTGAGCCATTTTTCTGTCTTTCAGTTGAGAGAAAGAAATGACCTTATGTGTGATACATCTTATAATTATTTTGTTTTGTGATCACACCACACAATTGTAATGTTTTAATTGTAATTGCATTTTAAATATATCTTGGAGAAAGACAAAATGTATTTTGGTGTGGCCCCTAAATAAAGCTTTAATGAATTTACATATTCATTATGTTTGCCTGACCCTTTTTTCTGTACAAGTTCAGTTTCACTATCAGCAGATTTCTTTGTGATCATTTACCACTGTCCATAATGAATTAAGTTAGTTGATGTAGATATTTTAATTGTCATGGTCTATAAAAATCAATCAAAATTAGCCTGATGTGTATTTTTTCACTGCAATATCGATTTGGTCTGATGGCACTGATCCAAATATATATAAATATATTGTTAGTAAATCTAACTTTATATTTTAGTTATTTCCAATGCGCTCACGCTACAATTGATTGTGCAATCATACTTTGTGATTATGTCTTCCATCAAATCAACGTTTACATTTAAAAGGTACAATGGCAAAATTGACAGGTGCAGCCAATTGCATATTGTTGTATAAAGATCAAGAATCAAACCACATTTTCAGTGTGTTGAAATGCACTCTGAAGCATAGTCTCAAGCTCAAGGGAAATAGTGCAGCATTTTTTTGTTTGTTTGGTTACTTATTTCCCCTTAGTCATTTAATGTGATATTATTTGTACATACTTTCAAAACAGGATGTAATTATTTTCTACTGTTGTATAATACATTACTTCCATTGTAGAATTCAATGTTAACTTTTATTTGAATTTTTGTTATTGAAATAAAAATACTTTTGTTTTCTATTACAAATTTAATTCTCTCCTTCAATTTTGTTCCTACAAATATGGGCATATTAAAAATTGAAATTGTTATGGACTCTTTAAAAATAAAATATAGAAAGCTCTTTGTAGTGTATTTCATTTAAAAAAAAATGTTTTTGTTAATTTTTCCTTAAATTGTCTTAAATTGTCTTGTTTGTAAAACTTTTAAAAGAAATTAGGAAAAAAAAAGAAAAAGCACTTTAAAATAACACAATCTAATGACTTTATTTCATTCGTACATTTTTTCCCTTAAATTTTAATAATGCAAAAGATACAAATTTTTAATAACATGTAGGACACAACTTAAAACAAGTTAATGGGTTAAAATTATTTTAAAATTCTAAATTATATAAACATAGTAATCTTTTTATAGTTGTTGGGAATTTGAAATAATTCAACTTAACCTAAAGGAAGTTTAGAAACAAACAGGTTTTTTTTCACAGATGGAAAACCTTCAACACCAACTAAAGCTCATTTTAAAAATCATGAAGAAAAAAAAATGTATAGACATTAACCCTGTTATATACCGGTATATATATATATATATATAAAATTCTGAAGTTTATACCTGACTTACAATTCAACACTACACTAGTTTTGTTAATCCCATCATGTATTTCCAAAATGTTAGACTAGACTCTGTAACAACTTATATCTTCATATTGAACATGATCCTCTTAAAAATACCAGAGTATCAACTAGAAGCCAATAAATTACAAATGTCAAGGGTGACTAATGCTGCCCAGACATCCCATAATTTATATTTCTACAAGCGTTTACAAGATGCAAAATTAAAACCCCTGCTATGTAAGAAAAAAATGACATTTGAATACCATCTTTACTTTTCAAAATGCAATACAAGCAAATTTTATCAAATATTTAACTCTATCCATTATGCCCTACCCAGTTTCCTTTCCACATAAAACAATGTTTAAATAATATATTTCATGACTATACATTTTAAAAAAAGAACACTTTTGTTGATTTAATTGAATAAATAAAAACCACACATTGATGCCATATGATGACAAGACATCCACACACCAGTTACACAAATATAGAAACAAGGAGCGCTTCAAATTTTATATCCTAAGATGAACAAAACCAATTTTATTTATACCCAGACAGCAGCAAAAAATTGTTATCAAGTGACAATTAGTACACATGGATGAACTTAAAAAAAAGAAAAACACCATTTTAAAGACATATTTATAAAACATTGCTAAAATAAAAGCATACAACTTTGCAAATGTATATAGATTATCTGATCGGGGGAATATTAAGGGATTATTCTATCTGTCCGCCCCAAATGTTATTCATTCTCATTGGGGATGTTATTTTACCTCGATACTGAAAAATATCGTTTGAAAGTGTCACTTAATAAAATATTGTCAGTAGAAGAAAAATTATGGTTTTTAAAATGCTAATCAACAAATTTAATTATCTCTGAAAATAACTCATGATGCTAAAAAAGATTCTATTTACTAAACTGAATAAATGCTTATGTCGGTTTCAAAACTAAATAAATAAATTTGATTATCTATAAGATTGCTGCACAAAAATTTATAATGAAAGCAATGTACAGGAAACAGCTAAAATGAAAATAAATTTTCGATTGTTAATAATAAATACTTCTGAAATAGTTCCAAAAAAAGGAACTAACAATTTGAATAAAATGTAAATATTTACTTTTTAATTGTTTTAAATACAACATAATGCGCTGCATGGAAGATGTAGACTTGTGAAAATAATGGAATATAAATATTATTGACGATGCATTGATCAAGAACTTTGCTCCAAGATTAAAAGGTGAACTACATGAAGCTCTTAAGTTTTGCATTTTATAACATCCTGTACACAACTCATTTGAATCAGTTAATGTTTAAAATACTCAGAAAACAAATAACTTTGATAATTCTCAATAATAATTCATCATAAACTGTTGGTACACAATTCATGACCATTTCAATGCCCATCAACTGTTTGTGTAGTTATTTAACCGCTAAGCCTTACTAATAACATGAGATTAATAGAAAGAAACCTGTTTAATAAATGAAAAGTATTTTGTCCAAAATGTTGCACATTCCCCAAGACAGAATGATGAAACATGCGGTACCAGTACTTAAAGTTAAGAGGTAAAAGTAAAATAAGTGATTATTCATAGTTCCTGATCACATCAAATGCTGGATTCTGTAAATCCACCCTGGAAGGGTAGATCACACGAAGGTTGCCCTGTGCATCTATCACCTTCACCTGCTCCACGGTCAGCTTCTGTGGGAACCGCATGCGGCTAGTATCCACTTCCGGTTCCCCTTCTGCATCCCCTTCAACTTCGGTCGGCTTATCTTTGGCATTGTCTTTTCAATTTAATTTTAAGAAATAATAAAAACAAATAAATAGACATATAACAGGTACTGCCATTTTGTTTGCATTTTCTTCATTTTAAAATTATACATAACATTAAAAGACTACATGAGCCTAATTTTCATAACTTTTCATAATGAACTGTTTCCGTTCCAGAAGCAACTGGTTTTGTCAAACATTTCTTTCCTCATCGTCATGAGCCCCTGTGAGCGACACCGTATGTTTCACAGTAAAACTGGTTATATATGCAGTGTTACTGGTAAACAACACGTTGTGATTTCTTTCATATTAATGCTTTGTAAATACTTGTTGGTCGCAGACTAAACCCTTATATACAAGGATTTAATAAGAATACAATTTGGAATAAAACAAACAGGCTGATAGAGATCTCTGTCTTTACAAAGAATTAATCAGTTCATAAGAAATGTATCTTTTAAAAGCAATGTTTTATCTCTCTGTATAACACACATTTTACCTGATAAATTTTTATTGATATTACTTATAGTAATCTACAAATAATGATATAACTGAAATTCATTTTACCTTCAGAGGGTGTGCCCACACCAATAAGCAGTGTTTCCTTCAGCAACTCTTCCATTACTTTCTTACAGATGTCAAAATTTGCTGAACTAGTTACCTCAACGAGGATGTCTGTTGTTTCCTTAGAGATCTATGAATTGAATAAGATTATATTCTTTTTTAAAAATTGAATACCCGGTATCTGGAAAATGGCAAAAAGCAACACATACAGATATAAAGACCACCGATTTTTAAAAAAAGAAAATATAATATGCATGCTACTTTTGGTGTCTCCTTCCTTTTTTGATGGATCACTGTTTAAAAATTTGTTTTTCATTCCACCATGTCTACTTAATGACACTAGTCCTTGATAAAAAAAGGCATGAACATCTTCATATTACGTGTCCTAAGAAGATGATACCGAAAACATAATTTGTTTCTTTTGCTATTTTGATATCACTCTGTCATCTCTCATATGGTGAAATGTAGGACTTTTTCTAAAGATTTGGTGAAATGTAATACTTTTTTTAAAGCCAGTTTTACATATTAAGTACACAAATGTAGATTCATGTCTTTGTTGCTGTAGCTTCAACATTTACATATTTAAAAATTTTAATAAATAATTCACTTTCTAATCACAAATTTTTACCTTGGTTTTCTCACTATTAGTGATAGGAGGAAATGAGATAACATCACCATCTGCATCCCTGAGACAAGGGTAATGACTTTTATCTTTCAAGAGGTCTAGATACCTACAAAATAAAATATTAAAATAATTTTTGCTTACATTGAATGTAAAACCAAACTGAGGCTTTCTAAATATTTCATTACCAACAGCATGCAGAGGAATGAAAAATTACCATAATAATACCACTGACAACTGAAATGAATAAATTGCTGGTTGAATCCTTGTAAACTATGAATCTCAATGACAAAAAATCTCTTTGATCTAGCTAAAACAACTCCTATGTCATTAAAAAATAATATATGAAACAAATTTCCTTTCATTAACCTTAAAATATCAAATAAACTAGTAGTAAGTTAACATCATTTTAAAAAAGTAACATGTGTACTAGGGAAAAATGTATTTTTGATAAATTTAAACTTTATTAAAACATTTATAAAATGTTTTCAACAAAATGTTTTCAACAAAATAGGAAACCCATCCGAGGCATGGTTGATAGACTTACTTGTGAATACCACTCAATGTACTGCGCTTTTTCTCTCTTCTAAAAGCCTCAGCCTCATTTCTTAGCTCTTTCATTAGAGCTTCAGCAGTGGTGATTTTTGTTTTAAACAATGGGGTAATCTGTGAAAAAGATTGTAACTTTTTGGTCCAGACATAAGTCAGAAAAATAAAGATGTATAACTTAGTAGTAAATTGGTATAAATCGACAGAATTATGATGGAAATGGTCATATATCCATCATGATTATTTGGTAGCATAAGCAGATCTAAATGCAAAGACTATATTTAAAATACAATGTAGGCTTATTATTTCTTTATTCTTTTCACCCTTAGTCATGTTTTAAAGCTGGTTAATGTTTTTTTATATAATGAATAACAAAAAATAATTTAAATGCTGACTTATTTCACATATTAAAATTAAGGGCCTATTGGTATCCATATTGCAGATGGATTAAGTCCAATGATTCATTGATCTAAATCTAAATGTATAATTCAAAGATTTTTCTGACCTGTATTGTATGTGGTAAATTGGCATCATACACCAGTGGAGCTTTGACAAGTTTCAAGTCATGAGTAGCAATTGTTGCTGTTTGACGTTTCTCACAAATAGATTCATGTAGTCTAGTCTGTGGATTAAAGTATCTTAATAATTTTATAAACCTTTTGGAAATCCTTTATTTTTTAAGACATTGATTAAGCTCTTTATATTTTTATAAAATAAGTAGGCCTTAACAGGACCTTTCAATGGTCAAAGACATCAAAGTCATAGTCATACTAAACCCAGACAACTGTACAATAAACAAAAACATTTAGCCTAAGTAAGAATCTTACCAAGATAAGCCTTATCTACAGCTTTAAATTTAACCCAATAATAAAATTTTAATATTTAGGCCTAATTCTTTATGCCTACCTGCAAATTAATAAACCTTTTAAACATATTGTTTGATTTGCTGAAATCCAAGTTCCTAATTATACAGCAAACAAGATACTGCCGTACACTCATTACCGCTGGTGTTGCAGATATAACAAATCCACTATCTGTTTCAAATTGTAAGACTGAAATGATATCTCGCTCTAAATCTTCAATGTCTTTCTTGTCACCTTTCTTCTTTTTCTTCTTTGATTTTTCTATTTTTTTATTTGCATTGCCTGCCTCAAGTGCCTGTTGTTTTTCAAGCTGGATTTTTAGGTAGTTCAACAATGCTTTTGTAGAGTGTTCAGCAAGTTTCAAAAGCTTCCTATCTTTCATTTTGTTTTCAGCAATAATAACCTCTCTCAGCTTTGGGCATTCAGATAGTTCAGGGGGCAAAGTTTCCAACTTATTGGCAGTTACATCCAATTTAATCAAATGAGAAAGATTTGAAATCTCAGATGGCAATTCAACTATTTCATTGTTTGCAGCATCAATAGTACTTAAAAGGATCAAGCTGGGATCGCAAATGCCTTCTGGCAAGCTTGATAATTTATTTCTAGCAATGCTTAAATAAGCAAGAACTTTCATCTTTGAAACATCAGGAAAAGAAGTAAGCAAATTCAAATTAGCATTCAAAGACTGGATATTTACAAGATTTGATAAAGTAACTGGTAACTTCTCAAGTTTGTTTCCTGAAATGTCAAGAAATTTTAGAGATGTTAAGTCACCAATTGTTGCTGGTAATTCTCTTAGTTTATTGTTTTCTAACATCAGGGAAGTTAGGTTTACAAGATTTCCAAGTTTGTCTGGCACAGTTTCTAAAGGAGTTCCAGCCAATTTTAGTAAATTTAAGCCAGACAGTGTAAATAGTTTTTCATCTAAGCCTCTTTCTTCAATTCTTTTATTTATAGCTGGTCCTTGTAAATTTAATTCTCGGCGGTTTTCATTTAAGACGGCCAGTAATTCCTCCCACATGCCGGTCGCCATTTTGTTGACTAGCTGTCAACGCAAAACATTCCAGTGGATTTACAGTGTCATAAGCCAAAAGTAATAGTATGCATTTTTTTTTTAAGTTGTAAAAGGAACCCAAATAAATAATACAATATTTATTTTTTAAATATTTGTTCTGGTATAATAATAAATTAATGAATTAAAAACTATTAAATTTTTTGCATAATTAAATGTTTCGTTATTTTAAATTATTATTGGTTCAATGGAGATCCAAAGGGTATCTTAAGTGAAGCTATATTGATGGACATTTTACTTGAAACAGGTAATATTCTATTTTTACTAACTTTGCGGTGTTGAGTTTAGAATTGAATAATGGGCCTAATCCTACCTATATATGATTGAAGTATTATTTCGCAAAAGACGAATTTTTAAGACACAAAACAACTGGCTTGTAGAAAGTCCACTAAAACTAAATGCATTTTGCGGAAAAGATCATTTGTAAAGTAATATTCATTTTCTTTAATGACCCTTAATATTCTGCCGAGTACCGGTATACAATATAGTATATCTCTACTAGAGCACAATTTTTTATCCACTAAAGCTGAATTCAACGTTTAAAAATTCTGAATTCAACCCAAAAAGATAACTTCCCTTAATCATTTACTTTCTCAATCGTCCCAGTTTAAAACACAACCATAGACTCACGAACACAACATGTTGGCTAACCACGTCTCATAACAAAGAGGTCAAACCATGACAAACAAGCTATAACAAACACCACTTAACAACATTAAATACAAGTTTTAAAATGCTTCATGGCGTTGCTGTAAACTGTTTATATTTATTGATCTAAACATTTCTATTTGAAAACGAACAATTTTCATAAAGTATAGATCTAGTCGGTCAGGTCAGTTCATTGAAATAAAAAAAAAAAAAAAGATTAAATTTTTAGTTAGGCCTTTTTTTACATTCATTTGTGTCAAAATTCGTATTGAGTTAAATGCCCGCCTGACACTAATGAAAATAAAATGCATTGACACATTTACTGTTACAAGTTCTTCTGATTCGATATTTAAATAATTCCTGTCTAAAATAAATAGGCGATGGCACACGTAAAAAAATTGTTTGTTTTGACATAACGATTTATTCTCAAACTTCTTTTCAATAAATAAAATAAAATATGCTTACTCTTACACATGTTCTTGGGTTATGATTAGCCTACTTCCGGTATTAACAAGAGAGTAATTCCTCATGTAAGGGGCCCTCCATTTAGTATGTACGCACAGAGAGGGAAGGGGTGTAGTCGACTTTGAGATTTTGCGTACGCGCGTGCTTATATGAGTGGGGGGGGGGAGGGGGGGGTTTTGTCTTGGAGAAAGTCTTTTTACCAAATTTTGTTTGTTTGAGTGAAGTTGAA